CAGAAGGGGCATTTGGGGCGGAGAAGGGAAGAGCAAAGAGGAAGCGGACGTACGTCCACCGAAGTCCTCAAGTTCGCTGGCCTTGCGTTTGGCAAGCTATCGTGCACAAGAGAGGAAGGGGCGGAGGTGGGGTCAGCATCAGATTGATAGCCATGGTTGGCCAAGAGAATCCAGGCAAGGGGCACGGCAGGGCGGGAGTGAGGCAGGCGAGAGAGGCACAGGAGAGGGGGGAGGTGGGGGGGGGGGGGGGGAACGGTGCGAGATGATAGACGCACGGCCACCACGTGTGCGGGGAACTTGGCCATCTCAGCCACATGGATACCGAAGCTCTGGTCGCAGAAGCCCGGCTGCACGCGGTACAGCAAGGTGATCGATCCGTGCCCGGTGTAGGCCGACACGTGGAAGTTCCGCACATTGGGCAGTTCATCCGCCAGAGCCGTCAGCTCGTGGAAGTGTGTGGCAAACAGGCAAAATGCCCCGAGATCGCGAGCGATGTGCTCGGAAATGGCCCACGCAAGGCCGAAGCCGTCGTAGGTAGACGTCCCGCGGCCAAGCTCATCCACAATGATCAGGGACTCCGAGGTGGCGGACTGAAGGGATGTGTGCATGCATGCATGCATGCGTGTGTGTGTGGGGGGGGGGGAGAGAGAGAGAAGCGAGGACAGCGGCAAATGTAACTGCGGTCAGTGAAAGGGAAAGCGCAAGAGGAAGGCCTGACAGCAGATGGCCGAAGCGAAGAGGAGATGGCATGGCAAAGAGAAGGCCAGCATCATTCCAGCGCGAACCCACCTGGAGGATGGATGCCGTCTCCAGCATCTCGGCCATGAAGGTGGAAATGCCCTTGAGCTGGGCATCGCCAGCGCCGACGCGCGCCAAGATGGCATCGCGCACCGGGACCTGGGCAAAGGAGCACGGCACGAAGCACCCCACCTGGGCCATGAGCACAATGATGCCCACCTGCCGAATGAAAGTCGACTTGCCGCCCATGTTCGGCCCGGTGAGGATGACGAAGTCCGCCTCGGCCCGCGCCAGATCCAGGTCATTGGGAATGAAGGACACATCGGGCTGGGCCTCGACACAGGGGTGCCGGGACCCCGTCAGGGTGAGCCGGGCCCCGGGCTGATCGGCCGGGACCACCTGCGGCCGGACAAACTCGCTCGGGGCCGTGACCGCGGCATCGGCGAAGGCCGCCAGAACATCCACCTGCGCCAGCAGGTCGGCCAGCTGGATCACCTGCGAGGCGTAGGTCGATGCCACGCTGATGATGTCCGCCACCACGAGAATCTGCTTCTGCTCGAACAAATCGAAGTACTCCGTGTACTGGCCACTCAGCTGGCGCATCTCGGCCGTGGTGAAGAGAGTGCCGCTCTTCTGTGTCGACAGCTCCAGCACGCGGGCCTTACCACGAAGGCGCCCGGCATCGGCCTTGGTCACGCGCATGTGGAAGCCGTACAGGGTGTTTTGGTCGAGCTTGACCTTCTTCTGGGGATCCAGCCCCAGGGAGGCGGCCGTCTCGTGGAAGAGCCGGTCGATCTTCCGCCGGGTGGCATCCATGGACTTGCGGAGCTCTGGTGGACCGGGAGCCGCCAGGAAAGCGGGTCAGCATGTGTCCAAAGAGGCAAGTCGGGCGAGAGGCCATGCGAAAGGGCCGAAGAGACCCCGTCAGGGGGGAGGGGGAGGGGGGAGGGAGGGCCGGGGGCGGGGAGCACCAAGCAGGGCCATGTATGCATACGCACCGGACAGCTCGCTGTCATACTGCGGGTGGATGAGGAACTCGCCATTCTCCACGGCGGCCAGGTCCACGGAAAACTCCACCAGCTCCAGGAGCTTGGTAAAATGAGGCAGCAGGTCCTCCAGCGGCTTCAGCACCCCGGCGCGCAGCGAGTCCACCGGCGACGCGCCACACCCATCATTGAGGGATGTCGCATTCGCCAGCATCCCGCCGGATGCCACAGCCCGATTGAGGACGTCCTGCAGGACCGGCAGGCGTTTGATCACCTGGTAGAGGCGGACCACGTCCTGCAGCGAGGCTCCCAGATGGGCGCCGGCCTTGCCCTGGCGGCGGATGGCCGCGCGCACGAACTTGTGCATCAGTCGCGTCAGGTCCGGCACCGACCGGAGGAAGTCATCCTGCACCGCCTGGCGGAGACTGGTGTCGGTCATCAGGCACTCGACAATGTCCAGCCGGGTGTTGATCTCCCGCGGACAGAGGAGCGGCTGCTTCAGCCACCGGGCCAGCAGGCGCGATCCGTGTGCCGAGCGACAGCGATTCAGCAGCCCGAAGAGCGAGGCAGTCTTGGCATTGATCGAGTCGCCGGCCAGCGCCGGGCCGCCACCGGACCCAATGTCCGCCAAGAGGGCCGCCCCGCCAGCACCCCCGGGCCCGGCCGCCGGGAAGAGGCCGAGCGCTCGGATGGCCGAGGCGTCCAGCCGCATGAAGGACTTCGGCTGGTACACCGAGAAGGCCATCTGGTGGTGGAGGCTCTCATCCCGCAGAAGGCCCAAGTAGGTGATGAGGGCGGTGGCCGCATGGGTGGCATACTCCAGGTCTGCGGCAGCTGTGATGCCGCAGGCGCATGTGCCGGGTGGGTGGGTGGGGGGGGGGAGCAGGATCGGGGGGACACGAGTGTGAGGGAGTGCAGGAAGCAAAAGCCCCAGGGCCGGGGACAGAGGGGAAGAGGAGAGGCGAGGGGGCCGGAAGCAGGACGGACCGGATGCGGTGTTGGATGAGTCCTTGCTGGCAAGACGGGCGAAGTCCTGCTTGCAAGCCTGCGCATTGAAGGAGGCTGTGATCCCGGTGATCATACGCCGCAGGCGGCGAGCGAGAAAAAGGGCAAAGGTTAGCTTGAACCTCCAAAGCACGAGCACACCAGAGAGAGGGGGAGGGGGAGGGGAAAGCAGGAGGACATAGTGGGCCAGAGGCCGGTGATTGAACTCACCCTTCGGTGTGGCGGTCAGATGGATGCCAGCCGCCGAAAGGACCTTGGACATCTCGGTAACCTCGAAGGAGTTCGCATCATTTGGAAGAATACACTCGCGGGCGCCGATTTGGATAGCCAGCGACTGATGGACACAGGGCAGACAAGAGGAGCATCAAGAAAATACCAGCATGTTAGAACACATGGGAGGGAGGATTGTCAAGTCAAAGAGCCATCGGCGAAGCACGCACCTGGAGGTTGTTGAAGGCAATAGAGTCGGTGATCTCGCAGAGCCCCATGGTCCGGGCCGTGGCATCGCCATATGCAATGCCAAGATGCTGGCCAGACGCGAAGTGAGCGGCAGCAAGGGGAGAAAGGGGGATGGAATGTTAGTTGACATGGCCGTCCATATACACACACACTCTCTCTCTCTCTCACACACACACACGCGCGCGCGCGCGCGCATGTGGGCGTGCGTGGCCGAAGGAGAGACACACAAAAGGTCAAAGAGCCCGGGATTGCGCACGATTTGGCCCTTCACCACGAAAGGCCGCACTGCCATGGCCACCGGGTTGACTACCAGATCGTCAGCCTGGTGGTCGGTGGCGCTGGCTTCGCCGAAGAGTTGCTCCTCGAAAGCCTGCAAATTGCCCGGAGAGGCCTGCAGCCGGGGGGCACGGGCCCCGGGGTCCGCCGGCCAGAGCTCCACGCACTTCTGCTGACGCAGAAGCAATTCCCTGAGCAGGGTGCGGAACTGCACCTCCGAGAGGGAGACGCTCGGCACGCCGCCATCTGCGGCCGAAGTGCCTGGATTGTTGTTTGGACGGATTACCCACCTGATGTTAGTAGCAGCCCGCATGGGGCAAGAGAAGGAGGCGTGTGTGCGCGGCGCGGGGGCCAGACAGGGAAAGACATGTCGGAAGAAAAAGAAAAAAAAGGAGGAAGACAGATAGCAAATAGGCTGATTGCCGCACCGCCAAGGAACTTGATTGCGGTTGAGGTCCGGAAGACAATCTGAGCCGCGGTGTATGCATCCTCCTCGTGTAGGGAGTAGTAGTCTGAGCGCTCAAACACCCGCACACAATCGGCCCGACGCTGTGGCGTCAACGGGGACATGTTCATGAAGGTGGAAAAAAAGACGACCGAGTGTCAGCAACATCACAAAGTGAGGGGGGAGCAGGAAAAAAAAATAATCGATCCAGCCGGACCTCTGGCAGAGAACGCAGCAGCCGCTGGAGACCAGCCTCGGAGCGCTTGTCAAGCGCCGTGCCGGCGGTGGAGGTATTCTCGTTGCCGCTCATGAGGAGGTGGCGAGAGACGGGGCGAAGGCAAAATGGGGAGGGGGAGATACAGCGAAACAGGCAGCGATGCTTGGCAAGCCGGGAGGAGGAAGAGGGGGGGAGGGGGGCAAGAGCAAAAAGGGAGAATGAAAAAAGGGGCGGGGGCAGATGGCGGTGTTTGATTTGTATTCCGGCCACCAGGACGGCCGGCCGGCCGGCCGGGGCATTTTGAATTCCCGTTGGCAGGGCGATGCATGACTACATGGGCCGTATCACGTGCTTCACGTGTAGCGGTCTCGCAGCGCATTGTACTCGGCCAACTGTTCGGGGGAAACCGAAGGGACGAGCGCGGCTCGGGCATGGTGCAAGTCTGCTGCCTGGACCAAAACGCGCTCCGCGCGGAAGGCCGCCGATCCGGGGGACAGCTCCTGCAGCCGGGCCACACACCGGCGCGTGGCCAAAGTGAAGGCCGCCTCACAGAGACCCCGAATGTCGGCCCCGGTCAGTGGGGCTGGCGCCTTGCCCTCCTCGGCCCCCGGGTCCGGGGCATTGGCCTGGCCAAGCCCACCGTTCTCGGCCAGGGAGGAGGCACGCCCGGCCCCGGTGTCGCCGCGCAGAGCCGCCATCAGGGTTTGGTCGCAGTCGCGCACGGCCGGATCGATGGGATATCGGCCGGCATTCATCGACCGGAAGCAGGCTCGGAGGATGTTCACCTGCGCCGAGGCGCTCTCCGCCGGGCCGAGATAGAGCATGCGGTCAAATCTGGGACGAGAGGGGAAATGCGGCGGGAAAAAAAAAGAAAAGAAAGGGGGCGGATGTGAGTCGCTGCGCCCAGCGGACAAGCGGGGGAACCCCGGCGAGGGGGGAGAGCGAGGGCAGGGACTTGCCGGCTGGCTGGCTGGCTGGCCGGCTGGCTGGCTGGCTGACATACCTTCCAGGTCGGAAGAGGTCCTGGTCACAAAGCTCCGGCCGATTGGTGGCCGCAATGCAGTACACTTGGGCGCTGGAGGTGGACACGGCGTCCAGCTCGGCCAGCAATTGGCTGACCACACGTCCGAGGACGCCGCCACTGGAGGAGGAGGTGCTGCCGGCGCTCCGGGCCGGGGCCAGCGCATCCAGCTCGTCAAAGAAAAGGACGCACGGAGCCGAGGCGATCTATCGCCGCGCAGGGACCGGAGGCGAAGGGAAGTCAAGAAGGGGGGGGGGGGGAATAGTCTGTTACCAACACCAATCAGGGCGACGGACAGATTGTCACATCCGTCGTCCAAGGTGGGGGG